CTGTGCTCGAGCCGCACTCGAACCAGATGGCTACGGAGCGCCCTCCCCGCTGGCTGCCCGGGCTTCGCTGCTGGGGGCGCACCGACCTCGGCAGCTGCGCCGCCTGCGGACGCCCCCTCGGCACTGGCTGCCGCGCCGCCGCCGGCCGCGCCCTCGCCGGCGCCGCCCTCGCCCGCGGCGCCGGCAGCGCCGGGCGCCGCTGCCGGGCCCTCGGAGGCGGGGGCGGGGCCTGGCACGACGGGCGCCGCGGCGTCGGCGCCGCCGCCGCCGCGCCCGCGGCCGCCGGCGGGGGCGCCGGCGAGGCCGCCGCCGCCGCCGTGCCGCTTCCTTCCGGCTCTTCCAGGGCGGCGCCTCGTCGGGGGCGCCGCCGGGAGGTGCCGCGGGAGGCTCGCTGGCGGCGCCCGCGGCCGCGCCGGCGGGAGGCGCTGCGACCGTGGCCGGGCCCGCGCCGGGGGCCACGGCGGCGTCGGCGGTCGGGGCAGCAGCGGGCTCGGCTGCACTGGGGGGGTCTGCTGGGGCTGGGACCTCGGGCACGCCGGCCGTTGTTTTTTCGTTTTGGGGGGCGGCTGCAAGAGCAGCGCATGGTTTTCTTCGCGAAGCAGGTGTGGAATACATGTCAGCGCCTTCGCCGATCGCCACGGGGATGCACGACCAGGTCCGACCACGTAGCCTCCAGTCGGTGCGAGAAAAATGCCACTAAAGTTAGTCTGAGGAGGGAGGAGAGAGAGGTGGAAAAGGAGCACGCACGAAGCATCTTCGCAGCGCTCACTGCAGACGGCAGGCCTTCAGAACTCGTCCTTGAGGGCTTTCTGGGGGAAGACTTCGATGACAATATTGGGCCGCCTCGCCCTGACCATAATTATCGTCGCTGCCTTCGTCTGGCGGATCCTGATCATCATCATCATCATGGCACGGCGAACTTCCCGTTCTTCATCGCCTTAGCCGCAGCAGGTGCTCACCAGAATGCTCAAGATCGTGCTGGTCACGCCGGTCTTCACGTCGCACGCGATCACCGCCGTGAGGGCAGTCTTGGTCATGACCGTGCCCCTCATCGTCGACACCGTATCCATCAGGCGGGAAAGCAAAGACGCGTGCTGGGGCCATAAATGCTGCGTGCGCTTGAGCCCGAACTTGAGCCAAAATGGCTACGGAGCGCCCTCCTCGCCAGCTGCTGGGGCCTCGCTGCCGGGCGCGCTGGCATCGGCAGCTGAGCTGCCTGTGGACGCCCTGTCCCCCCTGCCCCTGCCATTCTCCCTTCCCTCTCCTGGAGGAACCAAAAAAAAACACAGTAATCATAAGCAGTCGGAGGTCCGCGCGGATCTCCGACAACCCATGTGTGTGCTATGTGCTGCTCCTCGACTCCCCTCCCTCCCCCACCTCACCCTCCCGCGTCGTCCCCATATCCCCTTCGCACGGCCTCACCCCCGCTCGCGGAGGCCCGACCCTCTCGACACTGGCTGCCGCGCTGCCGCCCGCGCCCGCCGCGCTGGCCGCGCTGGGCGTGGCTGCCGCGCCCTCGGCTGCGGGGGCGGGGCCTGGCGCGCCGGCTGCGCCCGCGGCGCCGACGGAGGGCCCTCTGGAGGCCTCGTCGGCGGGGCCGGCCGCCGCTGCGCCGTCCCCGCTCGGCTCGTGGGGCCCAGCCGCCGCGCCCGCGGCCGCCGGCGGGGGCGCCGGCGACGCCGCCAGGCCGCCGCTGTGCTGCTTCCTGCTCTTGAGCGGCGGCGCCTCGCCAGCCGCTCTGCCCGGAGGTGCCGCGGCAGGCCCGCCGTCGACCCGCATCTTCTTGGCAGGGGCCGCGGGGGGCTCGCTGGCGGCGCGAGGCGCTGCAGCTGTGGCTGGGCCAGCCCCGGGGGCCATGGCAGGACCGCTGGCAGCGTCGGCGGTCTGGGAGGTAGCTGCGGTCGGGGCGGAGGCAGAGGCAGCGCCCACGGCGGGCTCCCCGCCAGCTCGAGGCGGGATGCCAGCTGCCAGGGTCGCGCCCTGTGTGTTGTCCAGAGGCCTGGGCGTGGGCTCGTTGGCAGCGCCCACGCCGCATTGCGGCTCGCCAGGCTCCGCGCTGTCTCGGCAGCCGCCGCCAACCCCTGGTGCCGCCGAAGGCCCGTCGCCGGCGAGGTCTACCTCCATGGGAGCTGCAGCCTCACTATGACTGGGTGCAGCCGCAGAGGCGACGCCGGGCGAGGGCCCACCGCTCCCCAGCGTTGGAGGGGCGCCCTCCGTGGCGGCGTGGGGGGCCTGCGGAGCATGCTGCGGAGCCGCGGGCGCGGGCGCAGCCGCAGCGGCGGCGCCGGACGAGGGCCCACTGCTGCCCGGTGCCGGGGGGGCGCTCGCCGTGGCGGCGGCGCCCGCAGCAGCCGGGCCTGCGGGCTGGGGGGCCTGCGGGGCAGCAGGCGCGGGCGCAGCCGCAGCGGCCACGCCGGGCGAAGGCTCACCGCCCTGCCCAGGGGGGGCGCTTGCCGTGGCGGCGGCGCCCGCGGCAGCCGGGCCTGCGGGCTGGGGGGCCTGCGGGGCAGCAGGCGCGGGCGCAGCCGCAGCGGCCACGCCGGGCAAAGGCTCACCGCCCTGCCCAGGGGGGGCGCTCGCCGTGGCGGCGGCGCCCGCGGCAGCCGCGCCTGCGGGCTGGGGGGCCTGCGGGGCAGCAGGCGGGGGCGCAGCCGCAGCGGCGGCGCCGGACGAGGGCGCACTGCTCGGTGCCGGGGGGGCGCTCGCCGTGGCGGCGGCGCCCGCGGCAGCCGGGCCTGCGGGCTGGGGGGCCTGCGAGGCAGCAGGCGGGGGCGCAGCCGCGGCGCCGGGCGAGGGCCCGCCGCCTCCCTGCTCGGGCGGGGCGCTCTCGGCGGCGGCGCCCGCGGCAGTCATGCCTGCGGGCTGCGGGGCCTGGGGGCCCTGGGATCCGACACTGCGACAACGTTGCAGCATCGCGAGAAGTCAGCCCTCGGCCTGCTGGACTTCGAGCCGGATCGACCTGCGGTGGACCCGGGGCCTGAGCCTGGGCGAAAACGACCAATGTGTAAAAAACGATGCAGCGCTGGGATCTCAGGCGGGCCGGCGGTGGGATGCACAAAGACATACTAGTACTATATGTCCACCTTGGAGGCGTGCGTCCGACCCGAACATACAGTATGACCACCTTGAGTGTTGTAGTGAATCGTTTCCTGAGCGGTATGGCCAGAAAGCGCCCGCCACGGCGCGTAGACCAGAAAAGCGCGCGTCGCCCTGGGGGGGGGGGGGGGAAACGGGCGACCGACGCACACATACTGCGCAGTACTAGCATGCCCGTGTGACGCCGATGCGGGGCCGCGGGGACAGGCTCGCCCCGGCGGCCGCCGCTCGCCTGCAGGGCGCCGCGTCGCCACCGCGGCCGCCCAGGCATGCAGTGGCCCGGGCAGCGCGGTCTCCGTGCCCCCGGGCAGCGCGGCCCTCGGCGGCGCCCGGTCTGCTCCGGTTCGTGTCTGTGGGCGTGCTGCCCCGAGCTCCAGCCGGGGCTCGGGCCAAAACTGCTGTGGGAGGCCACGGGGAGGAGCCGTGGAGCTCCGCGCGCGGCAGCTGCTGCGCGCGGGGCGCCCTCGCGCGAGCTCGGGCCCCGGGGCCATCGCAGCTCGGCGAGCCTTGGGAAAACGCGGCAAGAAGATGTGGCCCAGGGCTCGGGTCGTGCTTTTCGAGAGGTGGCATCTCTCTGGAACGTCGGACCCCAGGTGCGAGAGAGGGGGAGCAGCCAGAGCAACACGAGGAGGAGGGGGAGAAGGGGCAGAAAAATACGTCGCCGCGCCGCTTGTCCTCGGCGCGCCCAGGGGGACGACGCCGACACCACGGCAGACCCACGGCAGGCCTCCTCATCCTCCTCCTCCCTCTCCTCCTCCTCCTCCTCCTCCTCCTCCTCCTCCTCCTCCTCCTCCTCCTCCTCCTCCCTCCTCTCCTCCTCCTCCTCCTCCTCCTCCTCCTCCTCCTCCTCCTCCTCCTCCTCCTCCTCCTCCTCCTCCTCCTCCTCCTCCTCCTCCTCCTCCTCCTCCTCCTCCTCCTCCTCCTCCTCCTCCTCCGCCTCCTCCTCCTCCTCCTCCTCCTCCTCCTCCTCCTCCTCCTCCTCCTCCTCCTCCTCCTCCCCGCGCCCAAAGAGCCGGCGCCGGCACCGCGGCAAGCCCACGGCAGGCCCACCGCGTCCGAGGCGGCGCTTGCCCCCGTGGCCGCGGCGCCCTCCCCAAGACGCCAGGCCGCGCGTCGGAACAAACGGCGCGAAAAACAGACCCAGACAGCCAACGCCTCGATTTTTTCGAGACGCGGGCCCACGACCTCCCGACCACTTCCCTGGGACCGGTTTTTCCTCCCGAGTCGTTGTTTGACGGTCCCAAGGCCCGGCGAGGGCCCCGAGAGCCCAAGAACTATGAAAAACATGGGTCTCGATTTTCTCGAGACGCCCGATGTCTGGGGATGCAGAGTGGCCAGAAGCTCTTGGGCCGGATGAGCGCAAGGGCAACTGGGAGAGGGCGCCCAGCAGCTCGGAATCGGCGACGGCCTCGAGGGTGCGACCCCAGACGTGCTCGCGCCGTGACAAAAAACAAGACGGTACATGTTTGGCCGCTTTCGGCCTCCGGGGGCCCCCGCCAGGCCTTAGGACCGATAAAAAGCGACTCAGGATCAAAAGCCGGCCCCGGGGAAAGGATCGTGACGTGGGCCCCGTATGTAACAAATCCAGACGTCGCACGTCTGGGACGAAAACTCTTCTGAGGGGGGCAGCTGGCAGGGGCTCCCGCGACCCCCTCTCGGAGACCGCCCAGTAGCCCCAACCCATCGCCAACCTCGAGGACGAGTGGTAGAAGGAGGAAACAGAAGGGAAGGGATGAAGGGGGGAGAAAGGAGTAGTGATTGGGGAGGAACTGGGAGGAGGAGGAGCAGGAGGAGGAGGAGGAGGAGGAGGAGGAGGAGGAGGAGGAGGAGGAGGAGGAGGAGGAGGAGGATGGTGGACTGAGGGAAGAGAGGGAGCAGAGGGCAAAGAGGGGGAGGGAGGGGGACGAGAGGGCAGCTTCGGCAAGGCACGGGCAGTCCCCGCGAGCATCCACCGCGGCCCCCCGGCGGGCCCTTCGAGCGCTGCTGGGCAACTGGGCGCAGTGGTTCCCGCCAGGCGGGCGGACGGACGTGGCTAGAGGAACAAGCAACTGCATAAACTGACTACCTGCCAGACCACCTCAACCCAACCCGAAGACCCGAACTTCGGGTTGGGGGGGGTACGGGTTCCATATGTGTCTTCTCGATGTTCCCCGACCCCCCCCACTGGAAATGGAGGTCAATTTGAGGCCGTCGGGTTGGGTTGGGGTGGTTTGGTGGGTGGTGATAGACATATGTCAGGCAGCGTGAACCCCAAAAGTGATTCACTGCAGTAGACGCGGTGCAACCTTGGGCGGTGCAGTCCGTTGGTGCAATCTGCGTGGCGCAGAGCAACGCAAGCGCATGCAAGGCAACGCAAGTCAATGAGGGACCTGCACTCTCTTTTTGTCAGCATTGTGTCTCATCAACTCAGCCACCGTCATCACGCGCTGGCCCTCTCGGAACGGCAAGGCTTTGGAGTCTATACTCCTGAACAACTGACTGCCTCGTCTCGGAGGCGACGTAAGTCAGAAACGAGATCGGCACAGAAGCGAGAGGGAGAGGGGGGCGGGAGACTTGAGCAATAGTATAATGGAATGATAGAATGGAGAAGTCGATTTCGCTGGGCCCCTCAATCCCGTGCCCGTCTGCAGGCATACTTCGCACTAACATGAGGGACCTGCACTCTCTTTTTGTCAGCATTGTGTCTCATCAACTCAGCCACCGTCATCACGCGCTGGCCCTCTCGGAACGGCAAGGCTTTGGAGTCTATACTCCTGAACAACTGACTGCCTCGTCTCCCGAATCGTCCTCCCAAGTGGATGTGAGCTTACGAGTTGATGGATAGACAGCGCGGCCATACACATAACCACTGCGCAAGATCTTGGCCAGGTGGTGGAAAAACTTGGGTGGGTAAACCTGGGCTTTCGAGGTCATCTTTCGTCCTTCGAGTTCGACATGACGTTTCTTTGAAAACTGGCACACGCCTGGGCCGTCACAAACGTACTGGTCACACAGGGAGACATCTATCTCGTCGCAGTTTCCGAACATCACACGAGTACGCTTGCGCCAGGCAGTTCCCAAGGCACACTGGCCAACTATCTTCACATGCACCTTCGGGCCCTTTTCGAAGTATTTGAGCTCTGGGGTGTGCCACAGGAGACTTGTATGAGGGTTCTCAATAGTCCAAGGGATACCCAAGAAATGTATAGTTCTAAGTAGTCGGAGAACTCGTCGGGCCTGGAGGTTACCACTCTGTACAGCGTTGGTGTCGTTATCCGAGAAAGGCTCGACTGGTCTGGCAACACCCCAGGGCCCCTCTTTAGATCGAATTACACTCGTCCTGTGGCGAGCGGTGCCCCAAGACCGACACTCAATGGCTATCATGACAGCAACAATTCGTCCTGCCGCAGCCTCTGAGCGAAGCAAGCCGATATTCTTCAGATCTGTCAGATCCAAAAGCTTAGAAACTGAAATATCCCACAGCCTAGCACGAATACCGCATCGCCCCGCGGCTCGCCCAGCACCTCCTGCGCCTCCAAACAGGTCGGCTAGGTACGGTGTCGCTTCTTTGGGGCCGAGCTCGGGATGTCGGGCAGTGCGATGGCCGAGGGGTCGATCTGGCCGCACAAAAGGTCCCCGAGTCGGAGTTCGCACATTCTGACGTGAGACGCCAACGAGTCGGGCAGCTTGTCGACACTCTCGACTATCTTGGCCTTGCTGTCGTACCTGAGCACTGACTTGTCCGCCTTCCATCGGCCGCGAGCCTTTATCTCGGCTCTCGTCCTGTACTTCATTGCGGCGTCGATGGAGGCGCCTGAGTGCCTTGCCTGATATGGCGCCGCAGTTAGTCCGAGCCGTCGACGCACTGTCTTGAACTGGCGCGTGCACGAGCTGTAGAGGAAAACGAAAACCTTCTCCTTCGGGCGGCCACGCTTGAGGGCAGCCACCACGGTCGCAAGGAAAGGGACCCACTGGCAACTGAGCTCGATGCTCTCGTCCGTGGCGTAGGTCTTCGAAGACTGACCCCGCCCTTGGCGAAAAGCACGGCAGATCCACGAGGCAGAGAGGCCGTGGGCGAGGGCGAGCAGGTCCTCCTTCAGCAGCTTCAGCGGCTCCGACGGCCGCATGTACGTCACCAGCATAAACACAGTGTAGACCGCCATGTTCCAGAGGTTGCCCCGGCAGAACTCCCAGATGATCGCCGCCCAGATGCAAAATGCGAGGGGGCGACGCGACCGAGGTGGGCACTGGCGCCTCCAGCCCCAGAGGGCGCGGTAGCTCCGTGAGAGGTGAAGCCCTCCATGTCGGCCAAACTCTGACCAGCCACGAGCTTCTCTCGCCCTTGCTGACGTTCTCGCCCTGGTCGAAGAAGTCTTGAAGCTGCCGCGCCACTGAGGCGTCCACCTCGGCAGCCTCGCCGAGCGGCTCGCCGAGGTCGCGTGCGTTGGACCTCCATAGAGTCACCAGCTCGTGGTACTGGTTCTCCGCGGTGGCCTTCACCGCGTTGGACTCCAAGGGCAGCAGTCCGAGTCCCTGAAGCCGATCTGGTCCCACTGGAACTCGGGGCCGCTTCGGTCGAGGGAGCTCCAGGTTGCGAGCGCGGCGCCGAGGTCTGACCACGATCCGATCGGTGTCGGATGTCTTGTCGCTGGTCCTGTCCACCTCCGTCGCCTCTGTGTCTGAGCTGTTGCCCAGGTCTGTCCGCCGGCGGCGCGCGGTCGGCTGTCACCAGTCGTGAAGACAGCTCGCCGCCTGGGGCCAGCAGCCTGGCCTGCCTCGGGGCGCTCGCCAACGGAGGGCTCGCCACCGGCACCAGCGCTCTCGAAGATGTCGGGGGAGCTGGGGCGGACGCTGACCCCGTGGGCTGACTGGCCAGCCTGGCCTTCGGGCGGAGCTTGGCCTTCGGAGGCCCTCCCCGAAGCATCTGTCTTGCTGCATTCGTCGGAATCTGGCTCGACTAGAGTATGATAAACACCAACAGGAAAATCTGAAGAGTCACCCTGTTCTACTGAGAAAGCTCGTGATGGTTTGTTTGTTGAATTCCATTCAGAGGGTATCTAACGAAAATGTACACGAAGACCCAAACTGAGACACCAGGCCCCCATCTTCCGCATGCACATCAAAGAGCGGAAGTCCGCGGCACGACCTCGTGCGAAAGACAGGCAGACTCCCATGTTATCGACCAAGAACAACAATCTAGCATCACGAACATGATGGGTACTGACCACCGCCTGGAAGCCCAGAAGGAGGGCCCGCGACTCGAGGGTACAGATGCCCTCGTCCAAGTACTTCCAGGGACCTGCTAAGAGGGTGTCCCAATTGGCCTTGGAGAGCTGCTTGTGTGGGACCTCGGGGAAATTGGAGTCCACCAAGTAGGGCTGATCGTCATCGGGCCCCTCTCCATCCGATCCAAGATCCTCCAAGCTGCCGAAAAATCTTTCCCGCGCCGAAACCCCAGGAAGCCTCTTGAAGCGTCTCCTCTCCATGTTCCTCCCCGCCTGAGCCACCTTGTCAGGGGCCCAATAAGAGACGGTAGCCCCGAACCCCTCCTCAGACGCGTCTGTCGCCACCGCGCTAGGGGCCCAGGGAAGAGCCCAAGAGGCATCCATCACGAACAGCAAGGGCGCGGCGGCGGTCATCTCCTGTCGGGCGGTCTCCCACAACGCTTTGGGCACGCAATGATGTTTGTTAATGAATGCGTAGATGCTCCTAAACACGCTCATCATGTTCCTGTTGATTAGGGCGCAGAACGTGAGGTGACCAAGCAGCGCCCCCCCCATGCGTCCGGGAAGTTTCCGGCACCTCAAGGCGCACAGCATCCCTTGTCGAACCTCCCAGAGACGGGCAGGCGAGAGGGACACACGAAAGCCCTCCAGATCCAAGTGAGTCCCCAGAGCCTTCGACTTGCCTGAGGTCACCTCGTGCTCGTGGGTCCCCAGGCCAACTTTCTCGAACCGATCCGAGGCGTCCGACAACGTCGACGAAGTACTGACAGGGTCGCAGCTAATCACACCCAGGTTGTCCACATCGATATAGTGGCAGATCCCCGAACCCTCCACCGCAGAGGTCCCAGTAGACGGGTCGAAGCGCTCCGAGAACCGAAAAATCCCTGGCGCCCCGCGGTCCTGGAGGAGGGTCGAGGTCGTGAGCCCTGGGACGCTTTTCATACGTTGTTCACCCGCTTGCTGGCAGAAGTACAGAGACCAAGAGAAGCCCATCGGCAAAGAGGCCCAGCAGATATCGACCTGGTCGTCAACACCCAAGAGGACCCCATCAAGGTTCTGTCCAACGACGCTCAGCTCCCCCGCCGTGGCCGATCCTAACCCAAAGTAACTGGCCAGACCACTCGGAATACGGAAACGATGGAACGCGTCCTTCACATCCGCCAGCCCCAGAGACATCTGGGCGCCAGTGAGCTGTTCGGGAGAGAGACTGGAAACAGAGCCTGGCAAAATGACCTCAATCCTTGCGAGGCTCTCACTAGAACAAAGGTGAACTCCAGGGGGCTCAGCGAAACGGCGATTCGCACGTCGTGCGTCTATTATCAGACGGCTTTTGCTTTTTCCTGCCTTCTTTACAAAAAAAAAAAATGCCTACATGCTCCTGGGCTGATCCAGCAGGCAGCAGCATCACCAGACCAACCTTAAGGAGGGCTCGCATGAGCCGCAGAAACTTGCGACGACTACGAGCCAGCACAGGGTCCCAGTAGGGCCTTATAAGGGGCAGCGACTCCTGTCGCTCCAAAAAATCCGAGAGAGGGCGCAGCATGCGCTCGTAGTTCTGCTCCAAAAACTGGCTTGCCTCTGGGCCAACAACATCTTGCACCATCGGGGCGCCCTCGAGGTTGTCAGGAAGGCTCACAGAGGCAACATTGGAGAAACTGGCAAGGTTGTGTCCACCGGGCTCTGTATCATACACAGCCCGGCCGCGCAGCAGCTCGAGGAAAGCCGCTCGCTGGCCAGGGATCGCAACGCCGGGGCTCAAAAGGGGCGAAATCCTGTCCCGGACGCGCGCCTGCGCACTGGCCTGCTCTGAGGTGACTGTGGGCCCATGGGAGGCCTTATGTCGGTCGCCCGCCATCCAATTCAAAGCCTTCAAAGTTGCATTGACATCCGCATTTAGACGTCGCAAATGGCCTCGCAGGCCTGTCGCCTGTCGGCCGCGTCCACTCGGCATAGGCGGCAGCTGGGAGAGGGGAAGAGGAAAAAGAGGCAGCATACTGATGCGCTTCACTCGCTCATCGGACACCGCCTGGTCTGGGCCTCCAGCGTCGAGTCGACCACCCTCGCCGCTGGCCCAGTGACTCACCCCTGTGGCGCCAGGGGCGCCTTCCCGCCGCCCTCCTGGCCAGCTCCCTGCACAGGCTGGCCGCGGCCTCGACCGCCGCCCTTCGGGGTGCCCTTCGGGTTGACGGGCGCGCCAGGCGGCGCCGCCGCTGGCCCTCCGGGCGGCTGCAGGCCCCGCGTGCGCACCCGCATGCTCTCGATCTCCATCTCCTCCTTGGCCCGGCGGTGCGCGTGGGAACGTAGCTCAGCAGGGGCCACAGATGATGCTGAAGCCACCGGGGTGAAATGCTTCACGCCCTCCCAGTTGGCACGACCAGGCACGCCCGTCGAGTGGGCCTCGAGGATCTGACATGCACGGCGAGCTACGGTCTCGATGCACGCGAGCGAGGGGCCACTCAACTGGTCGTAGCAGCCACTGAGGTACACAGTATATCGGTCAAGAGCTTCATCTCAATGCCCGTTCTCTCCTGCGGGCTGACGCCGGCCTCGCGACACCAGCTGGCGTACCACAACCGAGGGTCACCGCCTTGTCTCTGAATGTTCTTGAACAAGGCCAACGTGGTGGCGGGCCCCTCGCGGCGCCTATCCCAGTCGCCAAAATGGCTATACGAGATCTCGGCACATACGGATCTCCACTCCTTGTCTCGTTCTCCGTGTTCATCGTAGTCAACCGTCAACGTCCTCGCGTCCTCGACGCTGGGGGGCGTCTTCGTGCCGCCATCCAGCGCGTGGTGAAGCCGCTCCTCCAGATGCCCCGTGGCTGGGCCGGCCTCGTCCTCCAGGATCTTGGCGATCCCTGTCCGCGCCGATGCCATGAACGTCTCAACGTCCGCCAGCGCGACCTGTCGGACGGGTACTGGCCTCCTCCGCGCGTCAAGCGCGATCGCGTACTCTCCCGCTCGGGGCGCATCCGGACCAGAATGCCGCTCTCGGCCGAAGTTGGGATGGTGCGGGTCCACGATGAGCCAGGTCGCATCTGGCGGCAGCTCAGGCGGCGGCAAGGGGGCCGGCGCCGGCTCCTCACCGTGGACGGGCGCTCCGCCACCGCCAAGCGGCACCAGCTGTACGCCCTCCGAGGCCATCAGGGGCTCGTACTCCACGTCCGTGCCGTCCCACATCATGATGGCGGCCGGCGGCGCAGGAGCACGGCGCGTGATAGCGTAGCTCTCCGCCTCGGCCATCTTGACCTGCTCCACCAAGTCCGAGGGCTCCAGCGGGTCCTTGAAACGGTAGAAGCGCCCGCGCATGCGATCCAGAACGGGCTGCCCTGAATCCACCAGAACCGCCTGAACCGCGCCCCTGGTACCCCGACGGCATCGCTCTCGGGATACCAGTCGCCGTCCCGGGTGGTGATGACCCACACTCCTGGTCGCACATACGCCAGGGCAACTCTCTCGTGCCAGTATGTATCATCTGAATACCACAGGGCAAAACGGCGGCCTGGCCTCATCTCACTCATAAAGGCCGGCTCCTCCACGACGCTCCCGTCCGCCGCGAAGAGCTGGTACCTCCTCGCGGACAGCATCGCGGCGGCGAGCGAGGGCCTGGCGGATCTTGTCGAGGGTGTCCTTCACGAGCCCCCCAATCAGCACCCAGATCAGGGGCCAGAAGCTCGTCACCGCGTCCGCCGTCGCCTGCAGCACAGCGAGGCGGTCGTCCAATCGCGCTGCCGCAGCGCGAACCTCCGCCAGCTCCTCGGGCAGCTCAGCCAAGAGAGCCGCAGGCCCCGCGGGCGGATCCCCGCCAGGCGGGCCGAGCCTCGCGGGCGAGGGGCAATGGGCCGCCGGGCAGACGGGCCGAGGGCACACCGGCGGGGGCGCAACCCGCCAGGCTCCAAGCGCCACCAGCCCGTGGATGACCCCGGCCGCGATCGCTGAAAGGGGGCCGCGCGCGAGGCCCATGCGAGCGAACCTTTCAAGACTTGAGTAATAGTAGAATGGAATGATAGAATGGAGAAGTCGATCTCGCTGGGCCCCTCAATCCCGTGCCCGTCTGCAGGCATACTTCGCACTAACATGCAACACAGTGCAGAGCAATGCGATGCCAAGCAATGCAAAGCAACGCAAAGCAACGCAAAGCAACGCAAAACAATGCAACGCAATGCAGGGCAATGCAAAGCAATGCAAAGCACTGCAACGCAATGCTAAGCAGTACAAAACACAGTGCAAAGCAATGCAGTGCAATGCAACGCGATGCAAAGCAATGCAAAGCAATGCAACGCAATTCGAACCAACGCAAAGATTTCCAAATCAATGCAAAACAATGCAGAGCAACGCGAAGCAATATAAAGCAATGCAAGCCAATGCAAAGCAATGCACAGCAATGCAAAGCAATGCAATGCAGAGCAATGCAGCGCAACGCAAAGCAATGCAATGCAATTCAGTGCAAATCAAAGCAATGAAGCGCAATGCAAAGCAACGCAAATCAATGCAAAGCAAGGCAAAGCAAGGCATCGCAATGCAAAAAAATGCAAAGCAATGCAACGCAATGCAAGGCAATGCAAAGCAATCAAAATCAATGCCAAGCAATGCAGAGCCATGCAGAGCAATGCAAAGCAGTGCAGAGCAATGCAAAGCAAGGCAAAGCAAGGCAAAGCAATGCAAAGTAAGGCAAAGCAATGCAACGCAATGCAAAGCGATGCAATGCGATTGCAATGCGATTGCAGTGCAGTGCGATTGCAATCGCACTGCACGGGCGGCGGCGACGAGCTGCGACGAACCAGCCGGACCGCCACTGGAGCCCAGCGGCGACGGCGGCGACGGGTGGCGACGAGACGGCCAGACCAGCAGCCGGGGTCCAGTTACGAGCAGGCACTGTTTGGGCAGAAAAATCGGAGGTCTGCGCGGATTGCTTGGATCGGCGCTGGACCCCTCTCCCTGGCGCGCGGAGCGCGGCAGGGGCGAGGCCAGGGGGGGCCCAGCGCCGATACCAGATTCGCGGGGAGCTCCAACCAATTTGTGTTCACGGCGCTTGTTCTTCTTCAAGACGTGGCAGCGCGGGCTCACTTCTTCTTTTTGCCACCGCCCTTCTTCCCCTTCTTCTTTTGCTTCTTCAGCGTCGCATACTGTTCCCGGGTGATGATGCCCCGCCAGTACGCCTGGACGAGAGCGGCCATCTCGTTCCGCCTTTGCTTCTCGTCCTCCAGCTTTTTCTTGCGTGCGTCCACGATGCTCTCCTCCTGTCGGATGCACTCCCTCTCTTCGTCGATCTTGTAGAAGCGCTCCTCGAGCTCCACTAGCCTCTTGTTCTCCTTGTCCTTGAGCTCCCTGGTCTCGGCTATCTCATGCGTGATCTCCCTGACCTTCTCGTCATACTCTTTGATCTTGTCGCCGACCTCCCTCTCGAACCTCCTCGCGTTCTTCTGCCGTTCGTTTTCCTCGACCTCGGAGTTCGCCTTGAGCTTGTTGTTTTTATCTCTCAGCTCGCTTATCTTCTTCTCCATTTCGTCCTTCTTGTGAGTGAACGCGTCCTGATGCTCCTTCATCCTGATCTCGTACCTGCTCCGCAGCTCCTCCATGCGCTTGCGCTGGTTGTCCTGCACCTCGTACCTGTCGGCCTTCAGCTTCGTCAGGATCTCCTGCCGCTTCGACTGAGCCTTTTCGCACTCCTTAGAAGAACAGAAGACGGCACCAGCATGCAGCTCCGGAGGTCCGCGCGGCGTTCTTGGGTCGGTGAGGCGCCGGCAGGGGAGTCCCAGCGCCGACCCGAGAGATCCGCGCGGACCTCCGAAAGTGCACGTGTCGCCGCGCCGAGTCTTCTGACCGCGTCCATGCAGAGAGGGGGCCACGTGCGAACCCTACCCCTGCCCCCCACGATTTCTGAGGGGTAGCGTGGGGTTCACTTCGCTCGGGAGCTCCCGAGCCGAAGTGAACCCCACCCTCCCCCTCAGAAGTCGTGGGGGGTAACCCCAGGAAGCATTTAAGAACCCCCCCGGCGATATCTTAGCACCGCATTTTTATTCGATATTCCGAGGGGCCGAAATAACCGCACGATAGGTTTAGCACCCGGACACACAACAAATTCGCGGAGGCCTGGCCCCTGGGCTACAATCGAAATTCGAAATTCAAATCTGCGTGGCTCTCATGAAAGACGGGAAGGAGGGGGCGCGGGAGGGAGGAGGAGGAAGGAGGAGGGAGAGGAGGGGGGAGGAGGAGGAGGAGAGAGGAGGAGGAGGAGAGGGCAGGAGGAAGTTCGTGGGTGGGTAGAGGAGGAGGAGGAGGAGGAGGAGGAGAGGAGGAGAGGAGGAGGGAGGAGGAGGAGAGGAGGAGGGCTCCTGGTGCCAGGTAACGCTTCCAGGGTGCGGAAGGGTTATCGATTTGCCGGAAGGGGGGGGGGGGGTTCTTAAATGCTTCCTGGGGTTAGGGGTAGGGCTCGCACGTGGCCCTCGAGCATTCGAAGCCAGCACCGCGGCACCCCTCGCTGCGAAGCCTGCGCCCGCGGCGGAGGCGTGCCCCGGTGCCCGAGGCGCCCTCTCCCAAAGGCGGCACGCCGCGCGTCGGAACCGCCGGCGCAGCGGCAGGTTCCGGGTCGACCAACTTCGCGCCTTTCCTCCTCCTCACTCCTCCTCCTCCTTCTCCTCCTCCTCCTCCTCCTCCTCCTCCTCCTCCTCCTCACTCCTCCTCCTCCTCCTCCTCCTCCTCCCTCCTCCTCCTCCTCCTCCTCCTCCTCCTCCTCCTCCTCCTCCTCCTCCTCCTCCTCCTCCCCTCCTCCTCCTCCTCCTCCTCCTCCTCCTCCTCCTCCTCTCCTCCTCCTCCTCCTCCTCCTCCTCCTCCTCCTCCTCCTCCTCCTCCTCCTCCTCCTCCTCCTCCTCCTCCTCCTCCTCCTCCTCCTCCTCCTCCTCCTCCTCCTCCTCCTCCTCCCTCCTCGCGTCCCCCGCGGGAGGCCAGGATGTTTCCGCGGCTGTTCTTCTCAATCCCACCGGCCCTTTGGGCGGAGGTGGTCTAGCGATGCCTGTCTTTCCTCTTCCAAGACCATTCTTCCCTTCGGGGAGGGCTACCCTCCCCCTTTTTTTGGGGGGGGGTCGCAACGTGTCAGGATTTTTTTTCTGATCCAAGATGGCCCAAGAGGGCCTCCGAAGCTCCAAGATGACCCCCAAGATAGCCGAAGACGGTTCAAGATAGCTTCCGACATACCTGCAAGGGGCCCGACGAGGGCCACAAGACGGTTCAAATTGCTCTCGGAGCCCCCCCGAGAGACCAAAGTCCATCAAAAACCACAGGAAAATCAATGATTTTGCCTTCTCGCCTCTTCTTGCTTAAGATGCGCTTCTGAGGCCCCAAGATGGCCCCACGAAGGCCCAAGAGATGTTCAGGAGGCCCCAAAAACGGCCCCAAGAGCGCCCAAGAGCGCCAAAGGACCCACAAAAGGACACCAAGAGGGCCCCAAAGACGGCCCCAAGAGCGGCCAAGAGCGTCCCACGATGGCCCCAAGAGGCCGTGTGCCTCATGCTCCTCCTCCTCCTCCTCCTCCTCCTCCTCCTCCACCTCCTCCACCTCCACCTCCACCACCTCCTCCTCTTCCTCCTCCTCCTCCTCCTCCTCCTCCTCCTCCTCCTCCTCCTCCTCCTCCTCCTCCTCCTCCTCCCCTCGCCACCTTACGGGCCCCAGGGATGGCCCGAAGAGGCCCCCAAGGCCACCCCCCTGCTCCCAGAGAGCTCTCTTTGCATCTTGTTTGCCCGCTCTCTTTCACTACATCTGCCTCTTCGTCCGTTTCCCCGCCAGCTCTCATGGACAACTCTTCTGAACGGACTGGTGGGGATAGGCGAAGCGTGAAGACTTGTCTCATCATTCGCATTGTGTTGCATTGTGCTCATTGTCATTATTGCGTGTCTGCTTGCCGCCATTCTCCGTGGTAGTCCCATTGCGCTTCTTACTATCATGCGGCCTACGCCGGGCGTAGGCCTCTCTGCGGCCTGCGCCGGCAGCCCAGGGGCTTAGTACTTACACCCCCAGGCTGCCGGCGCCCCGAGAGAACTGGTGCTGGGCCTGTTTTCCACCACCACGACCACCGCCACCACCATCAGTTGGAGGGGGAGGGGGTTCTCCTCCTCCTCCTCCTCCGCCTCCTCCTCCTCCTCCTCCTCCTCCTCCTCCTCCTCCTCCCCCTCCAACTTATGGTGGTGGTGGAAAACAGGCCCATCAGCTGGGTAATGCAGCTTGCTCGGTGCGGTCCCTGGTGCCATGGCCTCGGTCCCAGGTGCTGACAGACACGGGAAAAGCAGGAAATCGGCCGCTCTCTTGCTCTTCGTGCTTCTTCGCTGCACTCCCGGGGCTGAACCTAAACGGTGTTTTTCGTTTTCGTTTTGTCTTCGTTTTCCCTCGTTTTGTCTTCAATCCGCCCTTTTACCGCAAAACGAAATCGAAACGAAAACGGCCCACGAAATCGCCAAAACACCGTTTAGGTCCACCCCTGTGCACTCCTTCCGCATGTGCTGGAGGTCCCTCTCGAGCTGCTGCTTGCGCAGCGTCGCCTCCTTCTCCCTCGTCCTGTAGTTCTCCAGCAGGTCCTGACGGCTGCGCTCCTCCTCCACGGTGGTGGTGAGGCGCTTGAGCGTCAGGTCCTGCATGTCCGCGAGGGTCTTCAGGAACTGGATGACCTGGGTCGGCCTCACGTCCTGGGGCGACGAAACCTACATGTCCACTGCCCCGTGGCCAGGCCCATCCCGAACCCAGCAGCGGCGCTCCATCAGCTCCTGGGCTCAGGGTGGGCCTGGCCAGGGAGCAACGGATATGTGCAGAGATCTCGTCGCCCGACGTCCTGAAAGTTGCGCAGCTCCTGGCACGGAAGCCAGAAACAGCGCCACCACAGGCCTCCGGTCCTGCGCTGGAGCCCTCCTGGCGGCGCCTCCGGAGCCACCCCTGGCGCGCTCGGCGCGCGCTAGGGGAGGGGGGCCCAAGAGTCGGCGGCGAGCGAGGGTGGGCAGTGAGAGGGAGAAGGCCTCCTCAGAAGGGGGCGTGGCTTCGCAGAAGCCCTCCAGCCTTCCGAGAATTTGTTTGTGTCTTCGGGGGAAGTCTTCGAGAACTTCTCAGAAGGCCAGGGGGCTTCCGAGCCTTCTGAGAAGGCACGCCCCTGCTCACTTCCCCCAGGGCTTGCCGCCGAAAGAGATCGATGCGTAGTTCCGGAAGTGCATGCTTGCGGTCGGGAACGCTTGCTTGGCGTGTCGCGGCGGCGGCCCTGGTGACAAGCTGAACCTTGCGAGCGGATGGCGTGTCGCTCCACTGCGCGGGGCAAGAGGCTCGGAAAAGGCTCAGTCCCGCACTGTATGTAGCGTCGTCTTCAGGCTCCTGCACAATGTTGATGTTGGGTACGGCCTTCATCTTTCTGCAGAGCTCGAGGGTGCACTTCTGGAGCATCTTGGCGTCCTCGCGGATCTCCTCTCGGCAGCGTTGGGCATGTACCCATCCCCACTGGAAAATCGTGGCCCCGCGGTCCGATCTACGTACCGTCACAGGTTTCACCCTTCCCCCTATGTTGGCATCTACGTGCTACCATCGGCTCACTTGGGGAGGGATGACAGCGCCAAGAACGCGTCACGAAATTGCACGGGCAGCGTGGCCGATATTCAATCCACGGAGGCGGCTAAGCGTCGTGCGCGGGCGTGGGCAAGGAAGGCAAAAACCTGCAGCGGCCCCAGACTCGGCAGGAGGGGGGAAAGGGAGGACGAGCAACGTGCCACCGTAGATGGGGATAAATACCCTCTCCGTCAGGTCTCGTGGCATCCATCCCCACCTCGAGGAAATACGGCAGGTTCGTGTCGTGACGACCCGGGCATTGGATTTCCGACCCCGCGTGGATCGTTCAACCTTCAACGATCGCGGTTTCCCCGTAGCGCAGGTCGTCCAATGTCGGCCAGTTCCGGACCACTGGCGACGTTCAACCTTGAACGCTCGCGCTGTGGTCGCCGCCGCGTCAGCACGACGGGAACCTGTCGCAGTCTAGAGGCGCTCAGGAACCGTGGCCCAGTGAGGATATCCACCACCGTGCCCCCTGGCACGTTGAGGAATGAAAGAATGGCACGGTCTGTCAGGTAGGCTTCTTGAGTTCTCATAGGGGATGATAGGGGAGACCGCCCCTCCTACCCGCGGGTTCCTGCGCGCACTCCCCCTACTCACCGAGCCAATTCCCTCGTGCTCGCTCGAGGATGGTGTACTTCCCGCATGACAGCTAATGCCTAACTCCCCCTTCCTCGCGTGCCCGCTCGAATATGGTGCACTTCTCGCATGGCAGCTAGTGCCTGAAGCCCCTCTCCACGCGTGCTCGCTCGAGGAGTGTGCACTTCCCACATGGCAGCTAATGCATAACTCCCCCTTCCACGCGTGCCCTCTCGAGGATGGTGCACTTCCCGCATGGCAGCTACTGCCTGAACCCCCTTCCACGCATGCCCGCTCGAAGATGGTGCACTTCCCCGCATGGCAGCTAAAGCCTGAACCCTCATTCCATGCGCGCCCGCTCGAGGATTGCGCAGTTCCCGCATGGCTGCTACCTCTCAGACCCCTCATCCCACGCACACCCGCTCGAGGATGGTGCACGTCCCAATTTCCAGGCGCTGCTCACAAGTGCTCTAGGGCCTCTTAAGCCACGATCCGTTGTTCAAAACGATGGATCTGCGCCCTGAGCTTCCAAAGCGGGCCGTGCAGGCAACCGAGGACACCACGATGACCCAAGCTGCCTCCAAGACGGCCCAAAATGGCCCCAAGGCGGCCGAAGTTTGTTTCAAGACGGCCCAAGATGCCGCCAGGAGGGCCCCAAAGGGCCACAAGATGACCCATAACAGGGTCCGAAGGATCCAAATTCATTAATTTCCCGTTGGTGTTTGGCAGATTTTCGCATTCTCGCCTTGTCGGGCTGGCGTCAGCTCAAGACTGCCCACGAGGATTCCACGATGGCCCAAGCCCCAAGACGGCCCCAAGACGGCCTCAGAGGACGGTCCGATCCTCCCGTGGGACCCAAGACGGCCTTAGAAGACCACTGGACGGGCCAAGACGGTGCCAAGAAGGCCCCACCCACCATGCGGCCAAGGGGGCCCCAAGGCGGCCCAACATGGCCCCAAGGGACCCCCACGACGGCTTCACAAGAGGCAAGGGCACCAAGACTACCCAAACGAGGTTCATCATCATCATCATCATCATCATCATCATCATCATCATCATCATCATCATCATCATCATCATCATCATCATCATCATCATCATCATCATCATCATCATCATCGTCGTCACCACCACCATCATCATGACCACCATCATGACTACCACCACCATCACAATCATCATCATTGTCATCATCATCAGCAGCATCATCATCGTCGTCATCATCATCAGCATCATCATCATCAACATCATCATCATCACCAGCATCATCATCATCGGCATCACAACCAGCATCATCATCATCAGCATCATCATAATCATCATGAGCATCATCATCATCATCATCATCATCATCATCATCATCATCATCATCATCGGCATCACCACCATCATCATCATCAGCATCATCACCATCACCATCGCCGTCATCACCATCATCGACATCCTCATCATTACCACCTTCATCATCCTAAGCATCCCAATCATCATTAGCAGCTACACCATCATCATAATTGTTATCATCATCAGCATCACAGTCAGCATCATTGGTATCATCATCAGCAGCATCATCATCGTCATCATCATCATCATCAGCATCACCAGCATCATCATCACCAGCATCATCATCATCATCATCATCATCATCATCGGCATCACCACCAGCATCATCATCATCACCATCATCATCATCAGCAGCATCATCATCGTCATCAACATCAGCGTCAAGACCACCATCATCATCAACATCATCACCATCACCATCACCGTCATAACCATCATCGTCATCCTCATCATTACCACCATCGTCATCCTAAGCGTCCCCATCATCATCAGCAGCTACATCATCATCATCATCATCATCATCATCATCATAATTGTTACCATCATCAGCATCATCATCAGCAATCATCATCATCATCAGCAGCATCATCATCATCTGCAGCAGCAGAATCATGATCATCATCCGTATTCTCGACATCATCGTCATCACTATTGCCATCACCATCACCATCACCACGACCACCACCATCATCATCATCATCATCATCATCATCATCATGGTCGTCGTCGTCATCGTCATCATTTTCATCATCGGCATCATCACCATCACCATCTTTGCCAGCATCATCAGCATCATCATCTTTATCAGCATCATCAGAATAACAAATCATCATCAGCATCAGCAATCGGCATCATCATCATCGGCATCGTTATCGGCATCGTCATCGAAATCAGAATCGCCATCACCATCATCAGCATCATCATCAGCACCATCATCACCAACATCATCATCATCATCATCAGCATCATCATCATCATCGTCATCATCGTCATCAACACACTCATCATTATCAGCAGAAGCAACAACAACATCATCATCACCATCAGCGTCGTCAACATCGTCAACATCAACACCACCAGCATCAACACCACCAGCACTACCAGTAGCAGCATCATCATCATCATCAGCAGCATCATCATCATCAGCAGCAGCATCATCATCATTCCCATCACCACCATCATCATCAGCATCTTCATCGTAATCGTCATCATCACCATTGTCGTCAGCAATCATCATCAGCAGCATCATCAACATCATCAGCATCATCATCCGCATCATCACCATCAGAAGCAGCATCTTCATCATCAGCAGCATCGTCATGATGATGATCATCGTCAGCATCATCATCGTCATCATCATCGTCATCATTATCACCACCACCATTACCATCACCATCACCATCATCATCATTACCATCACCATCACCATCACCATCACCATCATCAGCATCAGCATCATCATCATCAGCATCATCACCATCGATCATCATCACCATCACCATCAGCATCGATCAACATCATCGCAATCACCCCCATCATCCTCAGAATCCTCATCATCCGTATCACGGCTCTCCCAAACCTGGAGACACGAGATGTGTCAAACGTGACGGCCTCCCGTGCCCCCTCGAACAGTCCCGACTCGGAATTTACCAGCCTGGAACATATCCCTATCCCTAAGCTGGGCATCGCCTCATCGCGATGCCAATCTTAGGGATTCCCTTAGTTTTTCAGGGCGCATCCCTAAGATTGTCATCGCCTTTTGGCGTGTCAATCTTAGGGATAGGGATAAGTTCGAGGCTGGTGAGGACTGCTGGGCTGGCACGGTGGCGGGACCTGCCGCCGGCAGCTGGGTAAGCAGGGCAGCTGGGTAAGCAGGCCCGACGGCGCTGATCCTCGTTCTCGTCGCTGGGGAGCGCGCCCTCTCTCTCGGAGAACTGCACGTACTGGTCCTCCAGCCTGGTCTGCTCCGTGAACTGCTTCATCAGGTCTGTCCCCAGCAGCTCCACGGTGGCCTGCCCCTCCTCGCCCTGCAGGCCGCTCAGCACCTGCGGGGTGGCCACGGAGAGGTAGGTGAGCTTCTCCTTCAGCTCGTCCATGATGGCGAGGATCCGCTGGGCATCGATGTTGGTGGGCTTGGAGGTGGGCATGGCTCCCACCTCTCCGCCACCCGGCGCCCCCGCGTGAAGGGACGGCAAGGCGCCTCGGGCCAAAGTGGCTGCAGAGAGGCTTCAGAATGGCACTGTGCCCAGGGGACACCGCCGTGTGATGCGGCTGGCTCGGGATGCCTCCCAGGAGCTCCAGGGAAATCTTAGAGCGTGCCCACCTGCACGATTTCTTCCTCCGAGGCACGGGGGACGGGAGTCCTGGAGGAGGAGGCCCCCGGGAAGCGCTTCGCCGCTCCTGGGGCCCCCGGGGGGGCCCTCCACGGAGGAGGAGGAGGAGGAGGAGGAGGAGGAGGAGGAGGAGGAGGAGGAGGAGAAGGAGGAGGAGGAGGAGGAGGAGGAGGAGGGGGCCCTCCACGGGCTCCAGGACCGTCGGCAACACGAGGCGGCTCTGGGGGGAAACCCCGGGGGGTCCAGGACCCGCTTCCCTCGGGACCCCCTCTCCCGAATCAGAAAGCTGACCCGGCAAAGCACCCCATCAGCAGCAAAGGTGCAGAGGCGGGTCGAGGAGTACCGTCGGGGCGTTGACCTAAGGAACCCAAAATAAGGAACGAGGCCCCTTTTTTCCACAAGTTCAACTTCGATTTCCCATCGAAAACCTAAGGAAAACCTGAGGCAAGCTGTGAAACACTGAAGGAAAGGGTTCCTTCTCCAGGGCCCCGACTGTAGGTCGTCCGGCACGGCCGTGCGCACCTCGGCGCACGGATCGCGGCCGTGCGGACCGGAAGCGCAGCCAGCGCCGCGGCGGGCACGACTCCTGGAGAGGCTGCGCGAAGACGCCTCGAGCGAAACGGCGGCCGGGCCAGGCGGTCCCCCCCCCCCCCTGGCCATCGCTCGGACGTCCATTTCCTGAGTGTGTTTTTGTCGGTGTCGTGCGTGGTTTTGTCGCGAGGCGATCAAGAAGGATGCTCCTCGATGGTCCTCGCCGAAGGGCCCCCCTGTCGACCCCTCTGCACCCGAGCGATGCCAAGCCCCCCCCTGTGGGGCCCCTTCTGCACCCGAGCACCGCTCTCACGGGGAGAGCGTGGCCGCCCGAACGCCACCTGACAGCCGCAGCACTGCGGCGAGAACGCGACCATCTGTGAGGGCGAGACGCCCTCGGGACCCGCGGGAGGAGGCGGAGGACGGAGGAGGAGGAGGAGGAGGAGGAGGAGGACGGAGGAGGAGGACGGAGGAGGAGGACGGAGGAGGAGGACGGAGGAGGAGGAGGAGGAGGAGGAGGAGGAGGAGGAGGAGGAGGGAGGAGAGGAGGAGGAGGAGGAAAAGAAAAAAGAAAAAAAAAAAAAAAAGAAAAGGAAAGGATGGAAAGGAGGAGGAGGAGGACGGAAGAGGGAGGACCGGAGGAGAGGAGGACGGAGGAGGAGGAGGAGGAGGAGGAGGAGGAAGAGGGAGGACCATCCGTGGGGGCGTCGCGAGCGAAACGGCTGACGGACCGGCTGCCGCACCGGGCGGTCGAGGGCTCCCCGCCCCCTCGGCGGTGGACAGGCCTCCCTGTAGCGAACCTCCCCTCAGAGGAAACGGCCCGGGGCCGACGGCCGCGACGCCCTCTCGCGAACCGAAAACGGCCAATTCCTGAATCGACGTGTCAGGGCAGGAGGTCTGTCCACCTCCGATCCCCCTGCGGGATTAATCTGCACCGTAGCGCACTACTTCTGTACCATGGATCGCGGCCGTCCGGACCGGAAACGTGGTCAGCGTTGCTTCGTGAGTCCGCCGACCCTGCCCGCGTGTGAGAGGGGCTTGCCAGTTCGAGTCGTCGTCTCCGTCGTTCGCTGGTCGTCGTGTCTGTCGTCCCCTTTCCCTGCGGCACACGCTTCCCTGGGCCCGCCGCCGCTCCCTCCCTTTTCCTGGGCCCTCCTCCTCAAGCGCGCCAGTCAAAGCGAAATTGAGCAACGTCGCTATTCAGTCGAAGGGAAGCCCCTTTTCCTTGATCCCTCCCCCGTCGGGGGGTGGGCAGGGGGTTCCCGGGGGGTTCCCCACCCAGATACGACTCCCCCACCGGGGGTCCCAGGTCCCCAAAAAGCCCCAGGACGGGCCAAGAGTGCCCGAATCCAAGACGGTCCAAGAGAGCCCCGAATCGCCGAACGATCTGTCCAAGACGCTTTGACGGCCTCCAGACGGCCCATGAGGCCTGCAAGACGCCCCAAGAGGCCTCCAGGAGCACTCCCAAGAAGGTCCCAAGAGGCAAAACTCATCAACTTCTCTTCGGCGTTTGAAAGATTTGGGCGTTCTCGCCTCTTCCGCTTCCCGACGCTCCAAGGGGGCCCTAGAGGCCCCCAAGACGGCCCAAGGTCCTCCAAGAGGTTCCCAAAATGGCCCAAGAGGGCCCCAAGACGGCCCCGAGATGCCTCCAAGACAGGCCACGAGGCACCCAAGACGGCTCCAAGAGGGTGCCCAGACGGGGGACCCGAACGGACATCTCGAGCCCTCGCCTCCGAGAAGCTCTCAGGATGCCCCAAGAGGCCTCCAAGACGCCCCGAAGAAGCTCCCAGGACGCCCCCAGGAAGCCCCTGGAGGCCCCCAAGAGGCTCCCAAGCGGCCCCCCAAGAGTCTCCCAAAACGCTCCCCAAAAAGGTAAAGAGCCCCATCCTTCTCATCCTCCGCCTCCTCTCCCCCCCCCCCTCCCCCTGCTTATACCCTCCTCTTCCTGTTCCTCGACCTCGTTTTCCTCGTCCTCTACCTGCTCGTTGCCCTCCTCGACCTCCTCCTGCCCCAACTCCCTCTCCTCATCCTCCTGCTCCTGCTCCTCCTGCTCTTCCTCCTCCTTCTCCTCCTCCTCCTTTTTCTTATCCTCCTCCTCCTCCTCCTCCTCCTCCTCCTCCTCCTCCTCCTCACCCTTTCCCCCCTCTTTCGCATCCTCCACCTCATCATCCTCATCCTCCTGACCATCCTCCTCACAATGCTCCCCCACTACCCAGCGTGATCTTCCCCTGGCGTTCCACAACCTTACCTCGACCTCTTCATCTCCATCCTCCTCCTCCTCCTCCTCCTCCTCCTCCTCCTCCTCCGCTCCCTAGCTCCTCGGCTTACCTCCCCTTGCCCCTCCTCCTCCTCCTGCCCCTCCTCCCCCTCGTCCGCGTCCTCCTGCTTCTCCTGCTCCTCCGACTCCCATTCTCCTCGTCCTCCTACTGCTCATTCTCCCCCCCCGTCCTTCCCCTGTCCCTGCTCCCCCTCCACGTCCTCCTCCACATCCTGTTCCTCCTCCTCCTTCTCCCCCTCTTTCTCCTCCTGCTGCTCCAACGCGTCCTCCTCCTCCTCCTCCTCCTCCTCCTGCTCCTCCTCCCCATCCTCCTCCTCCTCGTCCTCGTCGCCATCGTCTTCAGGGTCGGCGGCACCGGCTGCAATGCCTTCACAAGAAGCTGTGGGGACGTCTCGAGTGACACGGCTGCCACACTGGCTGACCGACTGGGCGGTCTAGGGCTCCCCGTCCCCCATGTGGGACTCTTCTGCATCTGAGCGCATGTTGTAAAAAGGATCGTGGCAGCCCCGACCGAAAATGTGGTCAGTTTTGCGGCGAGAGCACGATTCCTGAATATAAATTGTGAGGGAGTCTCAAGCAAACCGGTTCGGGCTCCCCGTCCCCTCTCTGGGACTCTTAGGTTCTTTTTGACCACGAGTATAACCCTCTGCGAAACGCTGGCAGGGAAGAAAGGCGAAACAAGCAAAACCCAAATCACAACCATGACATTCACGTATACCTCCCGAAGAAGCGACGCAACTGTTGACCCCCTTCATTCTTTGGGATGGGCCTGCCAGGACGGTTGTACGAAGCTCAGTGCCCCACCTGCGTATCCTCATTTCCTCCTTGACCTCCTCCTCTTTCTTCTCCTCCTCATCTTTCTTCTCCTCCTCCTCCTCCTCCTCCTCCTCCTCATCATCATCATCAGCAGCAGCAGCAGCATCAGCATCAGCATCATCTGCAGCATAATCATCATCAGCATCAGCATCAGCATCAGCATCAGCATCATCATCATCATCATCATCATCATCATCATCATCATCATCATCATCATCATCATCATCATCATCATCATCATCATCATCATCATCATCATCATCATCATCATCAGTAGCAGCAGCAGCATGATCATCAGCAGCATCATCAGCAGCAGCATGATCATCAGCAGCAGCATCATCATCAGCAGCAGCGTCATCATCAACAGCATCACCATAATCAGCAGCATCATCATCATCATCATCATCATCATCATCATCATCATCATCATCATCATCATCATCATCATCATCATCATCATCATCATCAACAGCAGCAACGTCATCACCCGGGAGGACGGAGGAGGAGGAGGAGGACGGAGGAGGAGGAGGAGGAGGAGGAGGAGGAGGAGGAGGACGGAGGAGGAGGACGGAGGAGGAGGAGGACGGAGGAGGAGGACGGAGGAGGAGTTTTTTTCGCGAAGCGATCAAGAAGGATGCTCCTCGATGGTCCTCGCCGAAGGGCCCCCCCTGTCGACCCTTCTGCACCCGAGCGATGCCAAGCCCCCCCCTGTGGGGCCCCTTCTGCACCCGAGCACCGCTCTCACGAGGAGAGCGTGGCCGCCCGAACGCCACATGACAGCCACAGCACTGCGGCCAGAACGCGACAATCTGTGAGGGCGAGACGCCCTCGGGACCCGCGGGAGGAGGAGGAGGAGGAGGAGGAGGAGGAGGAGGAGGAGGAGGAGGAGGAGGAGGAGGAAGGAGGAGGAGGAGAGGAAGGAGGAGACGGAGGAGGACGGAGGATGAGAGAGGACGGATGAGGAGGTGAGTACGGAGAGGAGGAGGTTCGGAGGAGGAGAGGAGGAGGACGGAGGAGTAGGAGGAGGAGAGGAGGACGGAGGAGGAGGAGGACGGAGGAGGAGGACGGAGAGTTGGAGGAGAGGAGAGGAGGAGGATTAGAGGAAGATGGAGGAGGGGACGAAGGAGGAGGAAGGGAGGAGGAGGAGGAGGACGGAGGAGGAGGACGGAGGAGGAGGAGGAGGAGGAGGAGGAGGAGGAGGAGGACGGAGGACCATCCGTGGGGGCGTCGCGAGCGAAACGGCTGACGGACCGGCTGCC